CAGGGAGCTCCAAGGATGCAGCTTTCAGGAGTTGTCACCCTTGCTGAGATGGGCTTTTGTGATGCAGTGTCCTTGAGTTATCATTGTCCTATAAGCAACCCATCACCCATATTCTTATAAAACAAATGAACAAAATCCCCATAAATGCAATAGTTCATATACCAGAATTGGATAGAATCATGTCTTAGGTCTGTTAGGTGTCCTACCCTAGGGTGAAAAGACATTTGTTCACTCCTCTTCAGGACAGGTCACCTGATATAGAGAGCTTCATGCAGCCACACCTCAAAGATGGTGCTCTGCCTTCCACCCTCCTGATGGTGGGCACTCTCTGTGATAAACAACTCATTTGGCTAAGGCTGAGGATTTGGCTTGCTTCCACGCACGTGGACCTATCCGCAGTACCTACATGGCAGATTGGGGTTGGCTGACCAGAAGCTCTTTAGGTTGTGGGTTGACTTTCCCCGGGGTCAGAAGTCAGACGATTGTTTCAAGGTTCCTGAATAAACTGCTTGGAGAAGAGCCTGGTGTTGCGTCTTCCTTGCTGGACGAGGCGGACTCGACAACCTGACATGATTGGTGAACAAAGGTTGACAGAACCAAACATGAGCTGGGGAGGAATGATTGTGCCATCCCTCTAATGAGTGCTGGTGCATGCAGCCAAAACAGATCCATGTGAGGGCAAAATGTTCATGGGGCAATCCTGATGTGCCTACCTTTCCGTGTGGTACGGGACAGTAAGCCCCCTTGATGTCCTGGTGGTTGCATGCTCTCAAGAACAAGTGATAAGCCATGCAGCCAATGCCAAATCATCTGAAAGCAGTGTCCTTACAAGAACTGATGAGAAAGCAAGGACCATAGTGCTGGGTCAGAGTCTTTCACAACGGGAGAGTCAGTTCTGCAACAGGACAGAGTACAGCCTTGTCCCCTGCTTGGGTCTGAGCCCAGTGAGGCAGTGCAAGGCTGCCCCACTAAGATGGCCAGGGAGGAGGAGATGTGCAACAGCCCAGTGATCACAGCACCCCAAGATCAGAAAGAAAGATATCTCATGACAACTGGAGCTTGATTATAGTTAGCTAGATGGCATACTGTATTATATGTATGTTGTTCTACCCAATACTGCTTTCTGGAAAAAAAAAATGGTCGAAGTGTCAAGATATTTTTGTTCTGTATTGGACCTTGCTCATGTTTCAAATTAGCATCACCTTAGCTGCCTGAGTACAACTGACATGTACTTGGAATGGATGATGAGTGAGCCTTCAGTTATCCTACCCAACCTCTCAAGAAAAGATTTCATGGAGACCCCACAAATCAGTAAGACTGTTTATTGCCTTGCTGTTGTTTGCATGCTAGAGCTACATGGGTAAGTCACTGTTGCTGAAGACACTATGTTCTGACTGCAGGACATGGAGAACTCAGACTGGGACAGACTGGAAGGTCCTCTCCTGCTGGCTGACTTTCATAGTGCCAGAAGATTCCATACAAGATGGGGGAGGGGGGAATTGTCACCCAAAGTTCTGCTCAGCTATGAACCCCACATGTTATGGCACCAAGATGCCCAAATGTTTCTGCTGGTGCCATAGTGGTACAACTGCTCCAAGTGTTACTAACAGCTTTGGGGTGGATATAAAGCTTGATCTAGAGGCAGTAACTCAGACGGCACTAAACCAGAGCAGGAGCCATGGCTGGAGGTCGTAGTCCTCAAAGGAAGGCCATGCCCTTGTTCTGTTAAATAGATGTGATGTACCTGTTCAATTGCCTTCTAAGCATTTTTAAAAAATCGTACACAATACTACTGCTGTCAGGCTCAATTAATAGTGGAGAAAAACTTCTTTTTGCAATGGGTTGTGAAGTGTAGAGCTCGACAATCAGTCAAGCTCTTGAAGATAGGTGACTGTTACTATGACGGTGGCCCAGTGCTCAGCCACAGGTGGAAAAAAAATAATCAGCCACCTATATCACCCCTCCAAGGCTCAGGGAAAGCTGAGCAAGGGTTGGTGGAAAGAATGTAAGAGCTAGAGGAAGGAGTAGTGTGTTGTGTAGTCTTTCCTGTAAATTGGAACCTTCCCTTCTGGAAGGAGTGGGGAGTCTCCTAAGTCTCTAGAAGTAAATGAAACATGCCAATCCTAGAAAAGAAATGAAACTTAGAAGGCTGACGGCTGGAGCCTTCTAAGGGCACACGATTCACAAAGCCCTTCACCAAGATTCTAAAGCAACAAACCATTTCCAGGGCAAGAAGGTTCCTCAGCTGGCCTGGAACTCTAAGGATGCGGGTTTCATGAGTTGTCATCCATGCCGGGTGGGCTTTTGTTCAAGCAGCTACTATGGAGTCATCCATGGTCCTATAGGGAACTCCCCAGCCACACCACTGTAAGTCACCCAATAAACTCACCAGTTCACTCTACTAGACTTTGGTGGAATCATTTCTTCGGTCTGTTGTCAGTGCCCTGCCTATGGTGACTAGATATTTGTTCATTTCCTCAGGGAAATTCACCGGATTCCCCATACGTAGCAGACACTTTCAAGTAGCTGGTGTTCATTATCTTAATTAACCACAATGCTCTAGTTTCATTTCTGTTTCTCTAATAAAATACAACAACAACAACAACAACAACAAAAACAGCTTGGGGGAGGAAGAGTGCATTTAACTTATAATTCCAGTTTACACTCCACCACAGCAGGGAAGTGCAAGTAACAAGAACTTACAATGACTGGTCACAGGACAGCCATAATCAAATGCTGAGAGAAATGACTGCAGGCATGCTGGATGCTCAGCCATCTTTCTCGATTTTTTTACAGTCCATCTCCTGAAACCACGGTACTGCTGCTGTCAGACTGGGTCCTCTCACAACAGTTAAGACAACCACCCACAGACATGCACAGGCCAATCTCGTCTGGACAATCTCTAATTGAGACTCTCCTCCCAGGTGACTTTAAGTTGAGTGAAGTTGATAACAACTACAAGCAGCAAACTATTAATGTAGCTGATAGGTATTTCCTAATACCCAGCTAGAGATTATGTTCTCTGTCCTCTAACAGTATTTTGAATGTTTCTGATCTACAGAATACTGCCTTGCCATCTGAGGGGAAACAAACAAAGTCAACAAGCAAGTGTCTCTTGAGACTCATCAGAGAAAACGCATTGGCATGGATGTTAAAAAAAGGAAAGCATTTCTTACACAATAAAAGCCAGGTGAGACATGCAAAATACGCTTGGCACCACCAAGGTGCACAAAGTGCCTTCAGTGAGTATGCAGATGTATCTTGGGCAACGACATGGCAGCATGTTACTTCTCTGATGACATGTAGACAAGCCCAATAACCATAGCTCTTAGAACACACCTGGGAAACAGGGCATGCAGTACTCTTCAATGCTGGATTTTAGCATACTCAACTTCTGTCCTACAGCCTGAGCTGCCCACATTCTAAGAGATTTAGAAGTATTCCCCGAGTTTTATAAGAGACCTTGCCTTGGGGCTAGAGAGTTGACTCTGCAGTTAAGAGCACTGGCTGCTCTCCCAGAGGACCCAGATTCAATTACCAGCACCTACATGGTGGCTCACTACTGTCTATAATTCCAATTCCAGAGGATCCGACACTCTCACACAGATATGCATACAGGCAAAACACCAATGCACATAAAAGAAAAAAAAATTTTTAAAAAAAGGAGAGACTTTGCCTCTCTGGGTTATTGATAATCAAATTAGATGGTATATATGAAATTGTTTTAAAATATCACACACACGGTGGGGGGGGAGGGGACGTATATGTGCTGTCCTGCCAGGTGCTGTAATACATGTCAATAATCTAAGCACTCAGGAGGCTGATATAAGAGAATTATGAGTTCAAAACCAGCCGGACCTACACAGTAAGTTTTGTCTTAAAAAGAAAAAAAAGGTGTCATTAGTGCACAGGAAATGAGCTCTCAATGTAGGAACCAGATACGGAAAGTATTTTCCTTCCCCATTTCTGAACCTGCTGTCAGCATCTTTTTGTTTCTTGATGTCGCTTCCTGTCCTGCCTACTTCCCCTTCCCCCCATTTCGGGTCATGAGGACAATAATAATAGCATGTAAAATGTAGCGAGTGGTTTTATTGTAAGAGTTCCACTGCGTTAGCTCATTTGATTGTCATGTTTCTGTGAGTTACAGCCTATGGAATCTGAGAAGTCTGAGGTACTGGGGGAATGAACAGCTTACATAATCTCATCCTGCTCGCAAATTATAGAGTCAGAAGACTTAGAACGCAGAGGCCACAGTCTTTGCCACCATCCTGGACTGTTTTACACTGCCACAGTGCCTACCGTGATACTAAGCTAAAAATGTTCAGGAAACAGGCATAGGCTTTCCTCTTGACTCTTTATAGCTCTATCAACAAACAGATTCCGTGTGGACAAAACTAACTCTAATAGGATATTTGTTACCAGCAATGAGAAATACTGAATGGCATAATGTGTGTGTGTGTGTGTGTGTGTGTGTGTGTGTGTGTGTGTGTGTATGAGAATGTGTTGTGAGTGTGTGGGTATATGAGTGTGTGTGTGAATTTGTAAGTATGTGAGTGTATGGGTGTATGAGAGTTTGTGAGTGTACAAGTATATGGGTGTGTGTGTGAGTATATGTGTGTGTGTGTGTGTTTGTGAGTGTGTGAGTGTATGTGTGAGTGTGTGGGTGTATGGGTATGTGTGTGTGAGTTTGTGAGTGTGTGAGTATATGTGTGTGTGTTTGTGAGTGTGTGAGTATATGGGTGTGTGTGGGTATGTGTAGATGTATGTGTATGTGTGTGTGAGTCTGCGAGTTTGTGAGTGTGTGTGTGTGTGAGTGTGTGTGTGTGTATAATCATCTAAGGAAAATAAGAGTTCAGCAACAGCTCTGCACAAAATTAACTAAGCCGTGGCTATCTTACAACACAGCTTATCTATTAAAGAACTAAGGTTGAAGTTTCCATGTTTTTCTTCTTCTGGTCTCTGGTATAAAATAGCATTCAAGTTGCCACTTACTGAAGAATAGGTTAGGCGTAAAATTGGCAAAATCAGTTTATGGCGTCATAGAAAAAGAGAAACACTCCCTGGAAATGCAAACCTGGTGCCTTTCAAAAGCAGCAAGATGGGATAGTGAAAAACTAGCACTCGAAAGACACCATGAGAGTAACTGGTAGGCCTACAGAGGCTACGCATCCCATCCCGGGTTCTCCTAACACAGAGGCTATGCATCCCTTCCCGGGTTATCCAAACACAGAGGCTACGCATCCCATCCCAGGTTATCCAAGTGCAAAGGCCGAGCAGTGGCTAGAATCCAGTTCTCTTGGTTGGCATGCAGACTGCACTTCCTCCAGAGCTCTCAGACAGGCTGTCACACACACAGTGGTGGGAGACACTTTTATAAGGCACCACCTGTCACTTGGGACTCACGCTTTGTTTTATGCTGAAATGGGCAGATTTTATATGCTCTGTTAGCTTAACTTGAAAATAGCTAAGGGCTTGAGTGCTGTGGCTTAGATCTTGGAGGACAGAGAAAGTAGGAGTAGAAGCAAGCTAATAAGATGCACATTGATGCTGTCCTCAAACCATCGGCTACAACTCAGAAGACATCAAGTTCCAGAAGAGGACGTTCTATTCCATCAACCTGATGAAAAAGCAATTTATAATCGCTTCTTTCTTTTCTTTCTTTCTTTCTTTCTTTCTTTTTTTATTTTGGTTTTTTTGAGACAGGGTTTCTCTGTGTAGCTTTGGAGCCTGTCCTGGAACTCTCTCTCTCTCTGTAGACCAGGCTGGCCTCAAACTCACAGAGATCTGCCTGCCTCTGCCTCCCAAGTGCTGGGATTATAGGTGTAACCACCACTGGCTACAATCTCTTTTCAAACCAACTGTTTCTTCATTTGATTGAATAAATGATTGTTGAAGTTTACAAGATTTAAGGAGAACGCTATAAAATTATAAACAGAGAATGAAAGGTTAAATTATGTTTTGAGATTTATGATTTTAATATCTTACATACAAGCTATCGTAAAAAATAATAACTGAAGAAAGGGATAAGTTCTCATGTGCCCCCTTAGCAAGTCACTGTCCAGACGTTGTTTCCACAGTACGTCCCAGAGTGCTGTCCAAAGAGAAGGCTCCAGAACAGCCCAAATTGGCTTCCTTTCCAGGGCGAAGACAGCAGTACACCACCAGCAGCAGCTCTCTGCATTCCAGCTCTCACAGGCCCAGCACTGCCCGGTGAGCACCAGGCTGGCTGAGTGCTGTTTGTAAGACTGACCGTGGTCCACCTGGACTCTTATAGTCACAATATCCCTCTCCACCCCATATTAAGTTGTCTACTCTTCCTTCTATGAGGGATCCAAGCCTGGTGTGAACAGAGTTCTAAACCAGAGTTAGAAACCATGCTGATTGTAGCAGAGAAAAGAGGCAAGACTATGGGGGAAACTTGGGGTGGGGGAGGAGGGGCAGTGTGGTGGAGTATTTAACTACGTAAAGGTGTGTTGCATTGGTTTCTGCCGCCTCTGCTAATGACGTAAAGATGTGTTGCATTTGTTTCACCTTGCCTGCCTAAGGCACCTGATTGGTCTAATAAAAAGCTGAGTGGCCAATAGCTAGGCAGGACTGGGATAGGCAGGGCTGGTGGGCAGAGAGAATAAGTAGGAGAAGAGATAAGAACAAGAGAGAAGGAGGACAGTAGTTTTGTGTGCTGTGCTTTGAGTGCAGCTGCAGGGAGCTGTGAGAGGAGCATGAGTGAGCTGGGATGTCATGACGTGGTGAGTGAGGGGCTGCTGTTCCGAGATGGGGAGGAGCAGATGGAAGCAGTCTCGGGTACCACGAGTGACACGTGGTTCGCCTCTACGAGGTGCTGGATCAAACTGCAAGAAAGAATACTTACAAGCGTCATCAAGTTCCGTGATTTCAGCTTGGTTACCACAAAGATAGCAATAGTTTGGAGCACTGCAAATGGATATTACATTCCATCATGGCACCACGTATATTCCTCCATCACCAGCTAGTGAGCTCTGGACACCAACGTGAGGCCATTGGCATGATTAAATGTCTCGGAAAAATCTTGGCCAACAATATAACCAGTTCGTCGAGGAGGTATCCCCCAGCCACCACAATCATCTCGATCTGACCACAGCAAGTCACACATGGACCCTCATGAGGAACTTCTTGTAGGCGATCAGGTGCTCAGATGGGATCCAGTGTGGATATGGATGGCATCAGACCACCAGGTAGACAGAAGATCTGCCCATCCACCAAGGCAGTGAGAAGAAGACAGTCAAAAAGGTCTGTGAAGTATTTCCAAACGTTTGCATTTCCGTATTTTCTTAAACACTCATCTTAGAAACCATAAACTTGTGTGCTGTCTGCTCTCATGATCCCCTCAGAGTATGGTGATACGCTCACGACAACGAACCTTAAGAGCTACAAGCAGTGTACCTGTTTGAACTGAGTGATATCCTCTGTCCACATAGTCCGCCATAAACAAGTAAATTGTATCTGGTGATTTACCACCGATTCTAAAGAGTTCCATGAGGTCATGAAATTGCCCACACACATCTCCACACACAGTGACTGGACATCAAACCTCTTGCATTTTGGATTCTTTTGTCAGGATTTCTTTAGCCTTCTCGCAGAGGCTCTTGAATGAGAGCTGCTTGCCCTCGTTCAGCTGCTCGATCCACTGGTTCAGGTCCTTGGTGAACAACTTCTCGTCCATGATGACTCCTGCCCGAACGACTGCCACTCCGCGAGGCTCACCCAGGCCACGTGCACACACCGAAACTGCACTCTCCAGGTGCTTTCTGCGGCTCCTGGCGGTACTAGACCCTGGCGCTAGCCTGCTGGTTCGCTCTGCCAGCCGCTGTGGCTCCTCCTCCGATTGCCCTAGCTGGGGACTCAGCTTTCTGTTCAGTATTAGTATTTAAAGAACACTCAAAGGAGGGATTGTATGATTGAGGGGGGGGGCGGGGTGTCAAGACCATAATGGGGAAACCCACAGAGACAGCTGACCTGAGCTAGTGGGAGCTCATGGACCCTGGACTGACGGCTGGGGAACCTGCATGGGACCGAACTAGGCCCTCTGAATGTGGGTGACAGATGTGTGGCTTGGTCTGTTTGTGGGGCCCCTTGGCAGTGGGACCAGGACTTATCCCTGGTGCATGAACTGGCTTTTTGGAACCCATTCCCTACCGTGGGAGACCTTGCTCAGCCTTGAGGCAGGGGGAGGGGCTTGGTCCTGCCTCAACTTCAAATGCCAGACTTTGTTGACTCCCCATGGGCGGCCTTACCCTCTCTAGGGAGTGGATGGGGGCGCGGGGGCGGGGTAGGAGGAGGGGAATGAGGGGGAACTGTGGTTGGTATGTAAAATTAAAAAGATTTTTTTAAAAAGAACACTTAGGATATGGGTGGTGAATAAATTTACACAGAACTGAATTTTTTGTTCAATTTGTTATTCTTTATTTTTATGACATAACAGCATGTTCTGAAAAGTTCTGACCTCAAAGAACTAGTCTGTTTTTGGTAGCCATAAAAGAAATATGTGCAAAGTATGATAGTTGGGATACTTTGGCTACTATGAGGAGAGGATGCATAAAATATTTTTGCATTTAATATTAATAGTTTAGAAGAATCATTTTGAATCGTTATCAATTACCTTTAAAAGGCTGCCTGTTGGAGACACTCAGATTTTAAAGGACTTTGAGGGTTAAGTAATAACTAATATTTTGATGTAATGAAAAAAGATCTTATTGATTTCGGTTTTTGTTGTTGTTGTTGTTTTGTTTTTTGTTTTTTTGTTTTGTTTTGTTTGTTTTGTTTTTTTTTGACACATTTTTTCTATGAAGCCCAGGCTGTCCTGAAACTTGTTATGTAGACCAGGCTGGCCTTGAACTCACAGGCAGATCCTCCTGTCTCTGATTCCCAAGTGCTGGGAATGAAGTCTTACACTTCATGCCTGACCTTGGTTTTAAGTTCTTTGAAACAGTCTCAATATGTATCCTTGGTGGGCCTGGAGTTGCTGAGCAGAGCAAGCTGTCTTCAAGCTCAGAGATCTGCTTGCCTCTGACTCCAGAGCCCTGGGATTGAAGTGTGTGCCGCCACACCTGGCTGAGATCTTTTTATATGACCACTAAATGCCAGTGTTGGTTGTGCTTTGAAAAAGTAGAATAACATGTGTGGGCTAAAAATTTGGGGTCAGACTTATTTTGAGGCCTGGCCTTTAGAAGGCCAGGATGGCCTTGAATTCATTATTCACCTGAGGATGGCCTTGCCTTGATACTCTTACCCCACGCACAAGCCACGTCCAGCTTATGATTAAACATGTAAAATGTGAAGATGTTGCTCCTTTGTTCATACTGCAGAGGTTTTGATTCAGAGTTGGAGAATAATCTTGTTTTTCATTCAGATCTGTATGATTTCTGTTTGCTTTTTGTTTTTGGGGGGAGGCCCATGTCTACATGAATTAGTTCTAAACCGTCATTATTTTTCAGATTTCCTTTTATAAAGCTTATTTGCTTTTACAATTATGATTGCTTTGCATATCTTAGATTCTCCATTATTCTAGATAATTTTCGAGTTGGGAGTGAAACCCAGACAGAGCTCATGCTAGGTAGTTGCTCAACCACTGAGGAGGTCCTTTCCTTAGAAATACTTGTTTGGTGTGTGAAAATATTTTTTCTTTGGAATGATTTCAGTAAATAGATTCAGCCCTTTGCTTAATAAATCTTTTGTATCTGTGGGTTTTCTCAAAGTAGGATAATGGTGCTGTTAGATGACTTCATTTATTAGCTTTTAAGGCATTTTTTGTTTCATGTGTCCTGTCTTTGAATAAAGACTCAAGCTTGTCTTGTGGATAGTAATGAAAAAAAAAAGAGAGAGAGAAGAAGGAAGAGAGAATGAGGGAGAAGGAGAGGGACACACCGGAGGCCAGAAGCCAGGCAGCTGACAGACAGACAGACAGACAGACAGACAGACACGAGAAGCAGTGAAAGTAAGATATACGGAAGGAAAGAAAGGTGAAGAAAAAAAAACCCGAGGCAAAACGCAGATGAAGAGAAACAGATTCAGTTAGAAGAGAAACAGGCTAGGTTATAAGGAATAGAGGGACAAGCCTAAGGCCAGGCATTCATAACTAATAAGTCTCCATGGCGAGATTTGGGAGCTGGTTGGTGGCCCAAAAGAAAAAGTCTGCTGCATGGTGGTCTTCATCTCCTAAACCACATTATAACCTTGTAGGCAGGGGAAGCGAATTGTCTCCTTTCCCCAGCCCATGATAAAAGAAGTCCAGAGCAGAACGGAGTCAGGCCTAATAACCGCCCAGGACCCCATGCAGAGCTAGGAAGCCGGATATAACCCCTGGCATGTGAAGGGCCTGGGCTTGGAGCCCTCACACTGAGGCTGAGGCCCCTCCGCCTCTGACCCGAGCCTTGCTCTCCAGGCCTTGGCTTCCCTGAGCCTTTTGATGTAGTGGATATGTCCTGTGACCATCAAAGGAGCCACAGAGTAAGGAATGTTCTAGGCAGTTCTGTTTAAAGATTTGTTTTGTTTTTTGGTTTCTTTATTGTGTTAAGTCTGAAACATTTTTTTTTTTTTTAAAGATTAAGCAACCAGGCAACGGTTGCAACTAGAAGAGACGGGCAGGGAAAGCTAGTCTTGAGTGTCTTTGAATAAAACAGGAGATGAGGATTAATTTTGTTTTCTTCACTAACCTTATGATGTTTTATGAATTAAAATTTCTGGCTGTTGTCATTGACACCCCCACCCCCCCCACCCCTGTGCCCACCCGCCTCGCCAAAAAAAAAAGGGGGGGTGGGTAACTGATTTAGGAATTCTTTCCACTGACTGGCTTTTGTTGTTGTGGGTTTTTTTGTTTGTTTGTTTGTTTGTTTTATTTCAAGACAGTGTTTCTCTGCATAACCCTGGCTGTCCTGGAACTCACTTTGTAGACCAGGCTGCCTTCAAACTCAGAGATCTGCCTGCCTCTGCCTCCTGAGTGCTGGGATTAAAGGTGTGTGCCACCACTGCCTGGCCCCATTGATTAGTTTTTGTTTTGTTTTGTTTTGTTTTGTTTTGTTTTGTTTTGTTTTGTTTTGTTTTGTTTTGTTTTGTTTTGTTTAAGAGAGAGTTAAATTCCTTATTTTTAATTTTTTAAATTTTATTCTATGTGTATGAGTGTTTGCCTGAATGTATGCATGCATACCACATGTGGGCCTGCCTGGTGTCCCCAAAAGTTAGAAGAGGGTGTTGGATCCACTGGAACTGGAGTTACATAAGGTTGTGAGCCACCATGTAGGTGCTGGGAATCAAGCTCAGGTCCTCTACAAGATCACCAGGTGCTCCTAAGCACCGAGCAATCTCTCTAGTCCTATAACTCTACTTTGTTATTACTGTTTATGTATGATGGGGTGGGTGGGGCACCTGCCTCGGTGGAGGTCAAAGAGCAGCTTTGGGGATCCGGTCCTTTCTCCCAGCCTCTTCACTTAGCATGATGCACGATTAATTAAAACACCATAGCCTGTGAGAAAATCTCTGCACCACTCAGCATCTTACTGGCCCAGTGAGCAAGCAGGCCCCACAGTTAAAGTGTGTGGGCTTCCCTGCCTTGTCCTACTTATCGACATCGACAGCAGCTGGGAGACCGTTAGACATCCAGCCCCTCAGAGTGTTAGAGAGGCTCTCAGGCCTTTATCACCCTCACTCCCCCGCCCCATCCTACCCCCGACAAAATGGAGACTTCCAGGCCCAGATCAGAACTTTTTTTTCTGAACAAAGTTCCTACCTGCTTGGACGTGATGGCTCCCTGATGCTCTGGGTCCCTTCGTGTGCACACCTATTTATTGCTTTCCTGTGGTTTACAAGTAAGGCTGAGACTACGACACCAAATTCCATGGCAAACAGCTTAAGAACAGGTCCATGAGGGCCGGAGAGATGGCTGAGTGGTAAGAGTGTGCGCTGCTCTTGCAGAGGATCTGGGTTTATATGGCGCAGCCTCTTGTAACTCCCCCTCAAGAGGGGCCAGTATCTCCTCAGTATCCTGTATGTGCACAGACACACATACATACAAACACATAATTAAAAACAAAATAAATATGTATAAAAAACAAAACCCTAGTTCTTGGTCATATGAAGATATCATTTCATGGCTCTGTCTGGTAGTTAAGCCACAGAAACTTAGACTGGAAGATACTCACAGACCATCAAGTTCAACCATCATCACTGCTGTGAACATCAGCGAAATCACCATTCCCCCTCTGGGAAGGTTAAGTTGTGTTATTTTCAAGAAAGTAAAAGGAGTTTGGGAATCGATAGAAGCTTACATATTTAAAACAAAATGTGTACTGACTAAAGGAATTTGCTTCAGTTATGAAAGTTTACTGACATGAAATGTCTGGGCCATGATAGTATCCCATAAAGAGGTTTGTCTATTTATTTTTATCCATTTGTTTTCTTTTTTTTTTTTTTTTTTTTTTTTTTAGATTTGTCAGGTTCTCACAATGTATCTCTGATTGACCCGGGACTCTCTCTGTAGATCAGGCTGGCCTTGAACTCACAGATCCACTTGCTTCGACTCCTGATTTTTAGTCTTTAAACTTGTATTCCAGTGTTATCTTGCATATCTGCCAAAAGCTGCTGCACTGCACAATTATAATTTTAGCTTCACTCTCGACAGACTCAAAAACACTATTATTTATTAAACTATGTTCTGGTGGAAGATCCACCTCAACTCCCCTCCCCCATCTCTTTCCCTACACCTGCCCCTTCAAAGCCCACCAAACACAGCTCCTCCCCCAGAGAGGCTCAAGACCACTCCCACAGGGTATATAAGCTGCATCCCAGAAAACAGACTTGTGGTTCTTCCATCCACTGCCGCCCCCATTCTCCACCCCAGGCCAGGAATCACCCAGGAGGGTGGGCTTTTCCAGTTCGGTCTGATTTGGTTTAATTTGGATTGCTGTGTTGGCAGAGATGCCTTCAGGGTGTAAAGACTTATCAAACTAAAGTTTCCATAAACAAAGGGAGGAAGGGGAAAAAAAAGAAAGAAATATCTTCCTTACAAAAGAATTTCACCTTCCTTCTGATTCTGGTCTCAAAGACTCACTTCCAAATAATAACATGCGGATTGGAGGACACTAAATTTGCAGCCGAGAAACATGTTCTTATTTAAACTATCAGAGTTACTGTTACCAGTGAGATGAAGACATCCTCCCCTTCCTGTGTGGATGCAATGAGAAAGCTGCTTTATTTCTTTGCAAAAGCTCCGAAGAATAGCATAAAAAAAAATTTAAAGGACAGTGCATTGCCTGAGACTTCACACTCCTTAAAGCCTCGAGGTCCTGGAAAACAAAAGGAATGAGATGCTGTTGTAGAGCAGAGGAAGGCAGACAATGGATCTCAGCTAAAGGGGATGTGGTCTCCTGGGTTAGACCGAAACAGCAGAGGGACATTAGAGCTGGGAAATCCCTGCTCTGGAGTTCAGCTCATCTCTCCCAGTGTTGTCTCCTCGGTTTGGACAAATTCACCAGGGTCCATGAAAGGCTGTGTGTGTCAGGAGTAAGGCTGAGGCAATTAATCCAGGCTGACAAGTACGCAGGAGCTCTTTGTACCATCTTCATAACTTGACTGTAAATCCAAAAACTAAAATGGAAAAGAAATACAACAGTCAAGCATGGCTCCTGTCTGTAAAGCCAGCTACTCCAGAGACTAAGGCAAAAAGAGTACATGTGCAAGGCAAGTTCAAGGCCAGCCCAGACAACTTAAAGAGACTGTCTCAGAAGTTTAAAAAATAATAATAATAATAAAGGGTTTGAGATGTAACTCAGTTGAGAAAAATGTTTCCTTAACATGCATAAGACTCTGAGTTGCATTCTTAGCAAATGAATAAATACATAATTTCCCACAAACCTATGGAAAAAAGCATGGATAAGGCTTCAAAAGCAGATTCTATTTCATTTTAGTTTTCTACTGTTTAGAAGGAAGAAGTGTGCAAATGCCTGTGATTTCCATACTTCAAACCATCCACGGGAGCCTGTTGCGCTATTTTGGTAAGCACTGGAGTTAAAGGTTTACAGATTTACATTTCCAGAGTGTCAAATCAAAGTCCATTTTCCTTTGGTTCATTTAACTCTTGAGAAGAAAATTGTGCTGAGGACTGCTTCTTGGAGTGCTTGGTGAGTTTGGATAATTCACTGAGCTTTCTTGTGCTGCGTATCCCACCTACAGAAAGTGTTGAATCACTTCAAAGGGAACTTTCAGACTAGACAATGAGGTCTAAACCTGGTGAAAGAGATCTCTCCATAAGCAGCAGGCTCTTACAGATACTTGGTGAATGCTGTGTTAGCAAGATGCGCTGGTCTATCAGGAAATTAATTCACTCCCTCTGTAGAAGTCAGAGGCGCTGTAGGCACAAAAACTAGGATTATGTGAAACAGTGTTTCATCTAACTAGACTCAGTGGAGAGTCAGTCCAATAATAGCAAACATTTATCTAAATGACTGGGTAGGAAAAGTTGGAGATTATTTGGCTGTTTTTTTTTTTTTTTTCACAACTAAAGAGCTTCTGAGTGCCGACATTCTACTGCTGCAGGGTTGGGCTAGGAAAAACATGCATGTAACTTGTTACAGGAGCCTTTGCTGGGAAGATAGACAGGCTTGAAATCTGTCCCCTGAGGTCAGTAATTGCTCTCCAGAAAAGGCAGTATGTCGGCTACCATAGTCTGTCACTTCCAAATTAGACCTTCATAATAAAAAGCCCTGCCTCTCAGTGCGTTCCATTTCCATCCTTCGAGATTCCTGGCTTAGGCCTTGCAATATGTAGTCCTGGTATTCTGTTCTGCCCTCAAATTTTGAATAACAGTAGAGGCAGAAATTGAGAGTTCCTAAGCAAATGTTTAAAACTAACCTTACAAATTCACACAGGCTTTTCTTAAAGCCCAGGCAAATGACTGTGGCAGTATTTTGGAGAGAAGCACAGGACAACTTTCTTCTTTTGTGATATTGCCCCAGATCTGGATATTATGGACTCCTAGAGAAGAGAAAATCTTATTTGGGGGGATTATAATTCTGGGGAAATGCTCAGCAGAGTTAAGGGAGACAGGCCAGAGTGAAAGAGCAAGCGCGGGTCTCGGCTCGCCCTGCAAAGCGCACAAAGGAGCCTGGCAGAATTGCTTTCCCACGCCTATCTCTTGTCCGGGCCAGGGCTGCCTGTGGAACGAGGGGAGCCAGGTGGCCGTGGGAGGTTTGCTCCCAGAGCAGCGCCTACGGTTTTGCCTGAGCTGAGATGCAAAGGAAAATATCACTGACAACAAGGAAGTATCTGTGCCTAAAGAAAAACAGCTTTTAGGGTTTTCTTTCTCTGATTATAAACGTAATAATGTCTCCTGCAGAAAAGTACATGAGATACTTAGAAGCAGAGAGAACTACAGACCACCTATTGCATTTCTAGCCCAACAGGTATTATTAACATTGTAATGAACTTTTCTTGGCTTACGTGCACACATGTCTAATATAGTTGAGAGACTACTATAGGGTCCATTTTATTTTGGATTATTTGTTTTTGTTTTGTTTGCTTTGATTTAGTGTGCTTTTGATATCAACGTTGTTCTGGGTTGTTAGATTTCTTTGTAAAACCTCCTTCTTAAAGGATGCATGTTCTGTCCTATGATGGAATTTATTTATTCTATTTTTGTTGTTGTTGTTGTTTTGTTTTTCAAGTCAGGGTTTCTCTGTGTAGTTTTGGAGCCTGTCCTGGAACTCACTCTGTAGCCCAGGCTGGCCTCAAACTCAGAGATCTGCCTGCCTCTGCCTCCCGAGTGCTGGGATTAAAGGCGTGCGCCACCACCGCCCGGCTCTAAATCTTAACTTTATCAATTCACTTAAGGAATGTTCAGGGGCCAGTGATGTTCCTGAGCAGGTAAAGCTGCTTGCTGCCAAGTCTGACGACCTGCATTCAATTCCTGGGGCCTGTGTGGTGGAGGAAGAGAACTGACTTCCTTAGGTTGCTCTCTGAGCTCTGTCTGTGCCTACATCTGTGGAACTGTGTGCTCTCTCACACACAATAAATAAATCAGTGCTTAAACCTAAAAATAAAAAAGAACCATCCACTAAGAAAAAAATGTATTTGCTCATTTGAAAGTGAAGAACTTTGCCCTAAGCCAAATGTGTAATGACTCCCTGAGCCATTCTTTTGGGCCTGATCATTCGATCTGTTTCTTGTTTTATAGGATTTTCTTTTAAAGGTCTAGACCAGAAACAAAAACAGGGAGTCAGCTGAAAGAAGACTGCTGGAAACAGGGTGGAAGAGGAGTTTGGAGAATGGAATGAGGGAGAAAGCACAGGCGAGCTTTATGTTGTGTGGATTCTATCAAATGAAACGGGTGTTTGAAAAACTGCTAAGTGTGAGACTCAAATGCAGTTCTTTTCCCATCCAGAAAGTTGTCTGCTATATACTCTGATATCAAGATACTATCAGATGGATTGGCATGATCTTTTAGTTTGTATTTGCCCAGGACCTGAAAGAAGAGAAAGTGTTTACTGCATTGGTATTCTAAAAGATATCTGAAAACTGATGTGAAAGAAGTAAGACAGTCCCCTGGAAAAGATGCCTTTGTTTCCTTCCATCTTCTTAGAGCTAGATCAGTGTGAAGGCTGACTTAAGCTGAGATTAGTTTAAATACTTAGAGGAAGCTGCAGTTTACCTTCACAGGCGCTTCTCACTGCAGCTGTCTTCTGATGAAAGAATCCTCCTCATTAGGAGAACGTGCTGAACAGTTAGAATGTGGCTGTTCATAGCTGATACATACCCTGAGTGGATTTGTAAGGTTGTAGCACCGAGGATGCCCCCACGAGCATTCGAAGATTCAGTTGAAGTCAAAGACTGTAAGAGATCAAAGAGATGGGGCTGGGCTTTCAGCATTGAACAACTGATTGAGGGTCGTGCTGTATGGGGCACTGTGCTCAGGGCGTAGTGGAAGATAAAACAGGCTCCCTGTCCTTGAGGAGCCTGAAGCCTATAGAAAAAAAAATGGACCAGTAAGCAACTGGGGGGGGGGATGCTGTGAACTAGAACACTGGGTATTGGGCAAAGAGGCCAATCCTGTAGCATCCTAGGTATAGAAAAGGGGTTTCATTAGCTCCTCCAATCGATTAGGCAAGTAGGAAAGACAACACTAAGAAAAACAATGGTCAGGGATATAGCTCATAGGTCAAGTTTCCTTGGTGTCCTCCATCCTTCCTGGCTCTTACATTCTTTCTGCCTCTTCTTCAGAGGAGTTCCCTGAGCCCCAAAGAGAGGAATTTGATAGAGACATCCCATCTGGGACTGAGTGTTCTGAGGTCTGTCACTCTCCATACCTTGTCCTTTGTGGTCTCTGTTTTTGTTCCCATCTGCTGCAGGAGGAAGCTTCGATGATGATGGCTGAGCAAGGCACTGATCTGAGTGTAGGAACTATCATTAGGAGTCAATATTTTCAATTGTGACTTCCCTTATTTACATCCCAGTTGTGAAAATACACTTTAGTTACTTTATTTGAACTTGAATATTACTGTATTTTTTTCTGGCTTAATTTGGGAGTATCCAATCCCCTACACTATAGATACAAATGTGTCTCTGAATAGGTGACTTCTGCAGATAGCTTACCTTACCCATTGTGTGTGGACATGTGGGAAAATTTCAGAGACTCCATACCTACACACAAGTTCGATGTCAACCATAGCTATGAAATATGGTTTCTTCCAACAGGTTCTTTTGTTGCTCATTTTGCTGGTCCAGTGACTTCATTAGTTTTTGTTTGTTTCATTTTAATCTCAGAAAATACTTCAAAAACTCTGTATTTTATTGGTTGGAATGAAGTTGAATGAGGCATATCTTTAAGGCAACATCAATGAGGAAGAAATAAAGGGCAAAAACTCTTTCCCCATGCTTCTGAAATAACTTCCTACACTTTGCCCTTTATCTTCCCATACCCACTCTACTCTGAATTGTGCCTTTGAGTTAATCTACAAAGTATGATACTATTAGACTTAATATGTTGTTAACATTAGTGTGAGACCTCCAACATTCTAAAGTTATTGGTTCAACTGGTGTTATCTCCAGGGAGGGAAGAAGTCAGGAGCTCACATTCTGTACGTCTTCTGAATGAGGCAGCAGCTAAAGACCAGGACATTGTCAAGTGTTACTACAGATGCCTTACAGATGTGCCCCAAGGTTAGGCACACAGCCAGTAGAGAAGACATGATTTCAGTTGATGAGGTTATAAAAAAATAAAGCTACAGAATTTTTTCAAACCCTCAAAATAGAAAAAAAAAAAAAAGCAAGTGTGGAGAGAGTGATCTGCGTTGCTTTTATGACTGTAGGATTGTGGGGCTCCTCTATCTCACTGTTGTTCCCCCACCACCACCACACTACTGGATTCCAAGAGATAAGGGTATCTATTTGGCTGTGAGAGTTTTCCGTTACCTAAAACTAAATTGCACCTTAGCCTTATTTTAGCCAGGCACTCTTAGAACTTACTCTTTCAAAATGGAAATAATGTCTTTAATGAGAGACATGAGGGTGTTTTCAGATCTCAGGCAGAACTGAAGTGAGGCAAAGTAAAAGTCTTGTTATGTGAATTACCAGCTTTTGTTTGTTTAAGAAGGGGTATCAGGTAGTCCAAGCTGGCCTTGAACTTGATTTGTAGCCTGAGCGACTACGCCAGGCCTTGCAAGGTTTGAGGTGAGGTTTTGGTTTGGTTTGGTTGTTTGCTTGTTTTGAAATGCATGTTGGGTGATCACTCAGCTACTAAGCTATATCCCTAGCCTTTACCATCTTTTTAAATCCCTTTACTGAGGCGGGTGCGCATCTGGTCACCCTAAGTTCACCCAGAGATGTAGCCCCCAGAGCTGGTTGTGTTCCTCTATGGGGTGAACTGCTTTTTTAAGTTCTGAGAAATTCTCGAGATTTCCCAAAGTCCTCACTAGCAGAAGGAACCTTCATTAGAAAGGTCAACAGTTGCGAATCCAAGCCACACAGCCTTTTAGGACCAGAGCTAAGATAGGAACCTTGACTCGCTGGCTCCTTCGACTGCACCAGGATCTTGGGGCCTCTCCGTTGATAAGAGTATTACCTCATAGCCATACAACTCTTAGAGCTGCCCACACTTTACCTGCACCATCTATTTGGTCCCTGGTTAGCTCGTGGACCAGGGGAAATCAATGCAACTGTTCTCGGTTTCTAGAAGATACCACAAAGAAGCCGGTAATCACAGAATGAAGGAGAATGGTGCGCTCGAGGCTGGACTGAGCTACACAGCCAGACTCTAAAGCACAGAAGAGCGTTTTTAAAAATCACAAGGAGATTTACTCAAAGCGTTTGTCTCTTCCGTTAAGAAGCGACGTGTCTATTAGAGTTCTCTACTTTTAGTTCTCCAAACCCGGGTAAGACGGCGCTGCAAGGAAACAATGCAATCAAGCACAGTTTCGAAAGAAATCTTTTAAAGACGTGCTTCGGAAGGAAAAGCTATCCGCAGCCCTCCTTTATTTCTGACTTAATGTCTGTCTGTTTTCAAGGCTGAGTTTGCGCCTAGCCAAACCCCACTGAAAGGGCCAGTGTTCTAAAGACCACCCCACAGACGCGGATCGCAAACCTAGGAAGCTAACACAGGATCGTTTCACTCGGTGTCACCTTGGGTTCTGAGTCAGTGCACAAACCCGAATTTAAGCTCAAGACTGTCCTTGGCCTTTGCAAATTCAGGTTGCAAAAAAAAAATGGACTTCCAACTAGATAGAGGAACGGACCACATGGACGAGGAGGCATCGGGCAGTCTTCCTGTGAGGCTTCGCGGCGCTCCCTTGAGCCAGTACCGGACGGACGGACGCAAGAGCTAAAAAAGGGCAAGCCGAGGGGACGTGACCCGCGGGCGCTGAGGCCACCTGTTCCCGGCAGCCAATAGGCCGGGCCCAGGGCGCGGCTACAAAAGGAGCGCGCGCGGCCGCAGGCTGGGAGCTGGCGCGAGGGCGGTGGCTGGGACCTTGTGCACGCGGAGCAGCCAGGACCTGAGCGATGCTGAGGGTGCGGTGTCTGCGCGGCGGCAGCCGAGGCGCCGAGGCGGTGCACTACATCGGTTCTCGGGTGCGTTCCTCCGCGGCCTCGGGACCTCTGCGCGACTCAGGGTGGGGACCCAGAGGGGGACTGCACTCCCCAGTAAGACCGTGGCGTGGTCTGGGTTCGGCGGCCCGCGAAGGCGCTTTTTCTGGGAAGATGCAAGTGGGTGGGTGGATGGAGTTGCTGACTCCAGTTGTAACATGGATTCCCTGGGCTTACAGGGGAGTTGGAATGAGTCTCTCTTGTTCCCCACCTGCCGCTCCGTCCTGCCCTCTGCTTCCCTGGTTTGTCGCGCGCATGCCTGCAGACTCTCCCCTGCTCCTCAACAGGAATAGCTTTGGCAGATGAGATCTGCCAGCAGCTGGTTCCTGAACAGCTGTCACTCGCCCTCTTGCTGTGGGTCTCCACCCTTGGGGTCCCTCCAGCCCCCTTCTGGAGGAATTTTAACAGCCTGATTGAGATTAGGGGGCGGGGTGAGGCTGGCGCAGGGGAGGAGGTGAGGGAATCTACCCGCTCTAGGTTACCTAGGCCTGTATTTTTAAAAGACGTTTTGACATGCTTAGATCAACTTTTAAGTTTAAATTCTGTGCCTGTCTGGGTTGGTCCTTATGGTAGGTAGCTAGGGAACCATGGACCATCTGTAATTTGGTGCAGTTTCGACAGTTGGTCACTCTCCGATTTGAAATGCTAAAGAATGTGAAGTATATGTCAGAGACTTAAAAAAAAAATAGGTTGAGCTGCTTATTCTGAAAGATAAGATCTTTTCAAATGATTCCATGTTATTTTCTGTAAAAAGAGCCTAATTTTAGTAACCTACCAGACCAAGGAAGGAAGACTTCCTCCCCCAGTCGGACGCAGCAAGGCACTTACTTAGGGAAGAGAATGACCTGTCTTCTGTGAAAGTTTCTGAAAGCTTGTTTGTATTATTCTGAAATGCAAATGGGGGATTTGGTAGCCAGGAACCAGATCTTCCCAGAGGTTTTAAAAAGTTACAGCTTTTAACATAAACAAACAAAAGCAAAATCTATAATCAACAAAATCTATAATCACACAAAGAAAGTTGTGTGGCTTGTTTGTTTGTTTTAAGTAACCCACAACCCCTCCATTAACTAACATTTTGGTGTCTCCTAAAGTAGATGTCTGTCTGTGTTATCCTGGGTGCTCAGACTTTAACCCCACCTTGTTTGAGTTTTTTTGTTTGTTTTTGTTTCTTAAGCTTGGAGGATCCTTGACAGGATGGGTGCAGCGAACTTTCCAGAGCACCCAGGCAGCTACAGCTTCCTCCCGGAATTCCTTTGCGGCTGAAGACAAGGCCACCGATCCTCTGCCCAAGAACTGCCCCGTCTCCTCTTACAACGAATGGGACCCTTTAGAGGAAGTGATAGTGGGCAGAGCAGAAAATGCCTGTGTCCCACCATTCACGGTGGAGGTGAAGGTAAGCAAGAGTTTTCCAGCGGGTTCTCTCCTCAGCATCTGCAGCCTGATTCTGCTCCCGCCCTCTTCTGCATCGGCTTTCCCCTCAGTGGGGCAGGGGAGTCATTTTAAGTAATTGTGCTTGATACCTCCAGTATTTGGTAATATTTACACATTGCTTCCTTCTTGAAACGCCTCTGGGAGTGGAAGAGAACTTTCCTGGGAGGCTATTCTTTGGGTATTCCGCCATATCTCCCTTCACAACTTGTGAACCTGTTGTTGCACTTTCCTCCTTCCGGCCTCCTTCCCTCCAGTCCAGACCCCTCCCCCATGCGCCACCCAGTCTAGGTCTACACTGTGGACTCCATGGTGGATACTGCCACAGTGTATCAGCTGGAGTTCCCGTTGAGGGACATCTTTAAGCCGAAGTCTTCATTTCTTCCTTTTAATTTTTTTGGCAGTTTTGCTTAATCAGATCAAAACACCAGCCATCTTTGATTTCTCCTTCAGTCACATCCCCCACGTGCAGCCTTTTTGTCAAAAGGAACCTCGCCCCACGCTTCAGTCTCTGCCCTAGGTCCAGAGTTCATCTTCGCCTGGACCGTTACTGTTAGCTCCCAACTGCCTCCCCCTCACTGCCCTCCCCAGACCGTATCCCAGCCACCATTGGAGAGACTTGTTCTGAAGCCAGACTCGATCACGTGACTGATTGTGCTCCCACAATTCCTCTGCTTTACTAACACCCTCCTTCCATTACCGAGAATAAAGCCCTCACCGTATCAGGTTTCTCCACAAGCTGGTTCTTTGCACTCCAGGACTCCCAGTTCCCGTGTTACCGCATCTTAGTGGTGTGTTAAGTCTGGCAAGTTAGCAGGTACTTATTTCTGTTCAAGTTGTTTTCTCCTCTAGTACTCTCGCTGGAGATTTAGCAGACCTGAACAAACACACAAGGACCAATAAGAACCATGCCTTTGCTCCCACCCAAGTGTCTCTCACTCATTTCCCTGCACCCACTTCTGCCACTACCCAGCTCTAACGTGTCTTTCCCAATACCTTCCAGAGTCTCCTAGCAATAAATAATATCTTCCCTTTAAAAACTAAACTCCTAATATTCACTTGCAATATTCTTATGGCCAGGGTCCTTATGGGCTAGTGTTCAGATGAAGTGTTCTATCAGGGTTCCTTCCATTTTGTAGGCAGTGCCTAAGATCTTGTTAATCGTGAGTTATAAATACATCTCAGAGTGTACATGAGGTCTTCCTAGATACCTACATTTTTATCTGTCCCGCAGAGTGGGTAAGTAAGTCTGTAACAGTGCCTCTATCGCCAGAAATACATCGACATAAAGGAGCTTCATTTCCGTTTGGAGAGTTATGATGTATACCTTAACGCAGGTTCTAAGTCTCTTGTGCCACCCAGCTGGCAAGGCAGCTGAAGTGCGAGGAACGCTAAGGGAAGAGCTGTGCCAAGCATTGGGTAGTTGTGAAGCATTCTGAAGGAAGTCCTTCTTGGGTGAGACCTGGCAGACACAGCAATGGTTTCTTCCTATTGTTCTGAATACGCCTTTGGTTCTGATAACTGAAATTTGATAAGCAGATTAATTTATATGCTATCCTCACATTTTACAATAAAGAAGACATGGTCTTTCAAAGTCTTTTTTAAAAATATAAAATAAAAAGAAGAAGTATCCCTACACATTTTGATTGGGACAATTCAAAGTCAGGTAATAGTTTATCATTTAATCTGTCTTTAAAATTATTGACCATTATACATTCATAAGATTTGACCTTAAATGTTTTCCATTTATAGGTATCTGTGTGTGTGTGTGTGTGTGTGTGTGTGTGTGTGTGTGTGTGTGTGTACATGCCTGTGCACATGCCTGTGCACGTACTTGTGGAGGCCAGAAGAGGGTGTCAGATCCCCTGGAGCTAAAGTTACAGGTAGTTCTAAGCTGCCAGACGTGGGTGCTGGGAACCGAACTCAGGTTCTGTGGAAGAACAGCAAGTGCTCTTGACCTCCAAACCCTCCTTCCAGCCCCAGTACCGCATGACCTTACGGAATCAGCATTCCCAGACGTCATTTGAAGTGCCTTGTCACTTGACTTAGGACTTCAGACTTTGTAGCTTAGCACACTTGTGGAACTAACACCACTGAAGTCCGGAGGCTGGCGTTGAATTAGTGACTTGATAAAAGTTGGAAACTAGCCTTGTCAGCTGCTTGACCTGCAAAATTCCTATGAAGTTTGCCAACAGGATTAAGCTTGAAGGTATAAAATTATATATTGAAGAGCCCCAAATATGGAGAGTACAAGTCATAGTTTTTATGGACCCAGTTTGTCAGTTACAGCACAAAAGTATGCTGGGAGAACATAAGCTGTAGATACCAATAGCATTAGCCATATTGATTTCATTCATTTTTCTGGTTGCTCCTATCTTATGTGATAGACTAAGCTAGGTATTAAGGGAAAAGAAAGGAAACAGAAGACATATACATCCTCTAGAAGGGAGGTAGAAAGACAGACAGATGAGTCTCATGAGGCCTAAGCTAGCCTTAAACTTGCTGTGCATCCAAAGATGACCCTGAACTCCTGATCCCCCAGCCTCTACCTCCAATGCTAGGGTGATGTGTGCCACTAGACCCAGGAACACAGA